GTGGGCGTGGAACTAGGTTGAGTATAACACCCACACCCACACCCTCACTCTTGTTTCAAAAATAGTCAGTATTCAGTTCAATTGAGTATAGTAACGACAAACATGCTTTATATTCATTCTGAACTATATTTCAGAGCGATGGAAAAAATAATAAGACGCTGTTGATGATGACACAGATAGTTGATACTGTACAATGTTTTTATATGCAGCCACTATTCATAAGTGCATGACTAATATACCAATATTGTTGTTGTTGTTGTTAAACATCTTTGCCACTCTAATATCATTGATTATGCAATAGTCTATAGTAAAATGTTCTATCAACGGTTATCAAAGTGACTATAGTTACAGAGGACAATGACTGAAGCATCTGTTTAGCGTAGACAAAATGTATTTTAATTATCAAATCAATTAACACATGAACAGATAGATCAAAGCGTGTATTGATTAAAACTCATCATAAGAGTGAAAGTGAAAAAATTATAGGTTTTTATTCTTAAAGATTTTTATAAATACTTCGTGAAATAATCCTCATTGAGTTTAGTAAACTCTGATAGGATAGGTTGAACTTTGTGTACTTAAATGAATATCTTCTGTATCACTTGCATTAGACTCAGTAGTTTGTTATATTTCTTCACTTTGAATGCCAACATTATCATATTTTGAGTTTTGATTTTAATCAGATATCTATTTAGTTATAAAATTCTAAGAGTAAGCCATGATTACGATTTGTTCTAAAGAAGTTTTTTTTGTGTGGATATTTGCTAATAGTTAATCAACTTATATACTAACAGTACCAAACTCACTTTGTCTTTTTCCTTCTTATCTAATATAATATCATATTATGCCAGTTCGTTTTCTTGTGTGATTGTGAATTATTATTAGATGATAGCCCATTGAATCTTTATACAAACGAAAGAAACTACAGTTTCAATTTTCTAATTACAATAATAAATAACAAATTTAATGATGTTCAACTTTTTTCTGTTGTCTTCAAATTCATGGTTTCTTTTCACTTATGTTTTTATAATTTCTAGATTGTAATCGGCTTTTTGCATCAGAAATAGATATTTTTATAGCTGTTTATTACAAAAAATGTTTCAAAAAAAGAAGCGAACAGCAGCGACTACTGATCATAAAGTGCAACGACTAAAGATTTCTGGTTTAACAGAAGCTGTAGCTTCATCTGCTCAACAACGTATCTACATGCATGAAAATCGTTATTATAGTGGCTCCGATTTTTCTGTCTACAATTATCTAATCTCGTTAACAATAAAACGTGGTTCAGTGTTAATAGAACTTATTCGTTTATCCTTAGCTACAGTAATTCAGCAGCATACAGTTCTTCGCACTTCCGTTCGTTTCAATCCGATACGTAATCAAATCGAGCAAAAAATTCAACCATTCACCAATGATATTTACTCCTTTCAACATTCCCGAGGTGTTTCCACATTAGAACAACTTGATCGTCTATTGACGAACGAATCAATTGGAAAATATTTCGATGTTGAAAACGGAAAAGTTTTACGATGTCATGTAGTGCAACGATCTCCTGAAGATCATAATAATTCACTAAACGAAAGTGATCTTATTATTTTCGTGATTCATCATATCGCATTTGATCTCAGCTCTTACAAACCATTTCTAAAAGCCTTTGAACAAGCATGCTGGGTGACTCAGTATCATCAATCAGTGTTAACAATTCCACAATACATTGACTTTGCATTGTATGAACAAGCACTGCTAGCTGATACAAGTCCTGAATCAAAAATGAACAAGGCTCGTCGGTTTTGGGCTAATATTATGCATGGATACAACTGGGATAAAATACGATATTTGGTGCCCTATGAAGGTCGAACTGATCGACTTCATTCTGATCGTGGTCATACAGCTGCATTTATGATTGATCACGATGTGGTTGATGCACTGATGTTATTTGCTTCAACCAACAACGTAACAATGTTTTCATTGTCTCTTGCCTGTTATTATGCATTTTTATTTAACCTGACCAATCATAATGATGACTTGTGTGTAGTAAACATTGCAGCTAATCGATCTGAGAAAGAGTTACACGATATGATTGGTATGTTTGTCAATCTTTTATTATATCGAGTTAAAATTGAATCAAAGAATACATTTAAACATGTTGTGGAACAAGTACAGCAGCTATGCAATGAAATCCTCGTACATAGTTCTTTACCTTATCAACAAATTATTGATTCCCAAGGCAAACAAAAAAATAATGCATTACCTTCAATGTTTTTCCAGTATGAACCTTTAATAGTATCAATAACACAGAAAAACTCAATCGAATTAACTCCGAGCAAAGGTTCAGCTGTAAGCGGTAACCATGATAGAGATTTAAATCACTAGAACGATATATCATTATTTGGCATCTCTCTTACAATCATCCATGACCATCATACGCGAAGTACTGAATGTTTTCTGAGCTGTTCTGCTGATATATCTAAATATCAAGATGATGTTGATTTACTTGCAAATCGTTTTCAACATATATTTAAACAACTTTTCTCTTCTTTAATCATTCACGAACCAATCTATAAATTATCCATTGTTCTTCGAACTGAACAAGAATTTATTCATCAAATAAATAATACAGATATATC